GCAATTGGACGCGGTGCGAGCGGGCTCTGCACTTTGCGGGCAATTGCCGCCTCAGCACTCTCTTGTGAAACCACTGACATTTATTCAAGACAGAAAGACTTACTTTAGGACAACAACAACAACAATTAGTATTTTCTAAATGAACGCTGCACGAGCGGACTCCGCGTTTGGCGGGCAATTACCGCACTAAGCACGCGCTCACTATTGATCACTTGTGAAACCGATTTGAAAGTCGAGGCGTTAAGCATGACAGAGATCTACAATGTGACGTTGCTGTAGCTCTCTAGGGACCGATCCACGCTGTGCTGCCCCGTACTGTTTCAGCCGTCGAGCACATGAGGCTTTCTCCCCATCTCCACGTGCAGGTTTGCCCGCGACGGCTGCCCCGTATCCTGTAGGACCGACGAGCATATGAGAGGTTTGAGAGACCTCCACACAGCAGGACCACGGTCTGAGCTCTCAGCGGATCATTGCCGCCACTTTCCGTAACTGGTGGGAGCGACCAGCTCCAGTTCCAAGAGCTCGAGGAAGCAGTTCCCCACGATTCATCTTGGTCCCACCAGTTTTGGCTGGACCACTGTCGCCGCGACCAGCTGGAATCATCTTTCTGCCGCTTGTCAGAGACCGGCTCCGTTGCCTCAGATTTGTCTCGGCGAAGGTATCGCATCTTCGCTTTGGTATCCCCCAGCTTGTGATCAATGCTGAGCTTGCGAACAACATTGCCATTCTTGTCGGGCTGAAAGATACTAATGCGGTTGATAAGACCGCAAGATCTGCGTGACTGATCGTAGATGGACTTCATGAGTGGAGGCCACTCTCAAAGTTGTCATCCGTTTCAAGAATACCAACCATGTCCTCTTGGTCCCAGAGGCGTAAAATCAAGGAACCAATCAGCCGAAAAAGCCCGTGATGAGGGGGGGGCTCTCACGGTATGAGTCTCCCTGGCCCAGGCCGATCGTGAGCAAACCATCTGGCCCCACGATGGGCCTGGCAGTCATAGTGTCGGCCAAAGCCGTACCCGTGTCCGTCTCAGCCTTCAAGATGGACGCCAGGCTCGAAGGAGGGTCTGTTAGGATCTTGATGCGGTTCTGCCACAGTTTCAGCTGCTCGGAGGCCGTCAAGCCACCAATGACGGCCTTCTCGTTGATGATTAGGATTGTAGCAAGCGCGTGGACCCACTCGAACATATGATCAGATTGGCATATCTGAATGATTCTGTCGGGTTTGGGGATGGCCGTGTTCTGATCCTCGAGTCATGGGCCGGAGTCATAGTCAAGTATGTCCTGGATGTCAACAAGGCCGCGGTACTTGACGTCTGCCATCGAGATGGTTTTCTCGATCGGGGCTGCCGGCCTTTCCACTGGGTTTGGCGCCGAAGTCGTGTGAGGCGTCGCAGCAGACTGCGACATGAAGGTTGGCGTCGTCGTGGAGTCGTCCGGGACGGCTGGTGTCTCGCTCGATGTGCTGGCCGATGTTTGGCTGGAAATGTTTGGAAGTGATGAAGCCGGTGCTGAGGGATCACTTGGTGTGGGAGAGGGAGTGGAGTCTGGCATCAGCTGAGAGGGGGTGCCTTGGAGGTTGCAGGATGCGTTGGAGGTCACCGGAACGGCGTGTGGGTTGCCAGCCCGTGGCTCCTGACCCACCCTTGAAGCTTTTGTGCCAGTTCCAGCAACGATTGTACGCAACGCAGACCTGCTTCTTGGTGACGAAGTAGTGGCCATCGTTGGCCAGCTCCCCTCGGTCCGAAAGACCGGCGTCGAAGTACTCCTGCAGCAGGTAGATCGGCCCGTAAGTGGCTGAAACGTTCCAGCTGAATTCTGGCGGCTTGCCCATGTCTTCCTTCAAGAGGCACCGGAGCGTAGATGATGCCATAGAAAATATGATCTTGCTTTTGGCCGATAGCCATGAGCATATACTCACCAGGCAAGCAGCTTGCGGGTTTGGACCGAGTCCCCTTTGCTCACTTTCCTCATTGTGGACCGAGTCCCAATCCTGTGCTATCAGTTGTAGCAGTCGGTCAAATTTGACCCGCAGTGCGAACTTGATGTCCATGTACAGTCCACCATGGTTGTTGTAGTGGTAGATGTACCGCAAAACATCCGCACTGTGAGCCGGCTGCTTCCGGTTGGTACAGATATCTGAACCAAAGGTGCCAGCATGCAGCGACATTGTGGTGAGGAGGACACCGTCATTGCAGAAAGTGCGCTCGAAGTCAGGCAGAAATTGAGCACAGATCTCACGTGGGCCTGGATTGTCATCGTGAATGTAGGTCTGGAAGACAGTCCGGGGCATTTGTCTGTCCATAACCAGAGGAAGCGCCGAAAGACCCAGTTTTTCTGAGCGTATCTGGTCGTGACGGAGCCTAGCCCTGACAGAGTTTGAGCCTGGCAGGTTTCTGCCGTGGCATGCATCTCCTTATGGACCGAGTTCCTTGTGACATTCCAGGAGCAGACAAGCAGTACCTGAAAGGCGTTCGGCCGGCTTCGCCGCATGCTGCCCAAGGCTTTTCCCAACAGTAGGCCGGTTGCTAGAGGTTAGGGATCAGGCCCGGACCTGGCCCTGGAGACTCTCAAGATGGTCTGATCAGCCAGCTCGTTGACCGCCACTCCGTACTGGTCCCGCACGTTGGCAATCCAGTCGTAGTTCTTCTGCTTGATTGTGGCAACAACGAAGTTCGCAGCGTAATTAGTCGGACGAAGATCTCCTCGTGAAAATTGTGGTACAAAGCGTCCAAGAGAGGGGAATGACCAACCGGAATCGTCGGCCTCTCTCCCAAGATGCATATGATGCGCCACGCCAGCACCTCAAGGATCGGAGGGGTTTGTGGCAGCCCGGATTTTTGCATGATGAGGGACTTGCCAGGGCAGATAATGGAATGCCATCCCTCCACATCTTCAACTCCGTAAGATTTTCCGGATCCATCCAGCCACAAGAGTTGCTGCAGCGTGCTGTCGGAGGCAGCCAGACTTGGGAAAAAAAACTTTCGCCCTGCCACGGGGCTAGCTTCTGTTATGTTCTGCTGAAGTGATTATTATGTTCTTCGAGGTTAACAGCTTGTGCTCCCCGACATTAGTCCTTGGTGTCCAATCTGTTCTGAAATCATTACTCTTCTGCAGGCCGGGCCTTGTGGGTTCCGCATTGTGCATGACATGCGAGAGATGGGGAACAAGCGCAGAGGGAACCCGAAATCCACAGCATTAAACTCGAGGCATTCTATCCGAGACACGCGGGTTCCTTTAGCTTCTTTATTAGCTTTTGCCGCAGGTTATGTCTTACCTGCATATGTCATCGGGCCTCCTGTTCCCTGCGCGGCATTTTCGCGGGAAGTGAAAGAGTGGATGTGTTCTGCTGTAGAACATCCCCCGATGTTTGTCGCCAAGTGTGTGCTGTTTCGGAAGGGTTCAGATCTCGTGCACAAGAAAATTGAAAAACCCTACCCTTCCCTGCATGTAAGTCGTCAGTGCCATCCATGCATCACCTTATGACTTGAATTCCTGCTGCTTCCTGTCAGGTGACAGAGTGCGAGGAGGACACCTACCCCTACAGCCTTGCCGGCTGCCAGCCGGACACATGCCGGAGCCTTAGCGACGTGAAGCATTCAGAAGTACAACGCTGCCCTGGACATTTCGTTGCGAGAGGCACTGGCCCATCAGATACCACCGGCTACAAGTATACTGCGAAATCTCTTGCGATGCAACTCGGACAGAGCTCGGAGGTCCAGCTGTGTTTCAACATAGGAGTGTGCTTTTTGTGTGTGTGTGTGTGTACTCTCCCATGACATCTTGGCTCAGTTACATGTAGGTAGGTACTCGTTGAATGATGTTTCATGCAACGTCTCAGCCTTACGTGTGTTTCATCCCACATTTTCCTGACCGGGCGTTGGAACTTCATTGCATTTCGGGATCTGCACAAGGGTCATTCCACTGATCAGGCCTTTCAGTTGCTTTGCTCGATGGATGGCCTGTGTTTTTTGATACGAGCGCTTCGTGTCTCGTTGTCCGTTTGGGGAGCCGAAACAGCACTTGATGGCGTGTTTCTCCAAAGTAAACCGGTGGTTTGACTTCCGCACAACCGCTAGTTCCGAACGCTGCCGAATGAGATGGGGCAGCTGGCAGCATACACCGTGAGTCTTTACGGTGCGTGAATTCACTGAAATGCAGGTGCTGAGGCCTCCGACGTCCGAGTGAATCCCATCGAATAGAATTTGTCAGGCACGACTTCGACGTGTCGGTGGAGTGTGCAGACGGTTATGAGGGCGATCCTGCGGCCACCGTTTGCGAGGGCCATGGTCAAGTCTTTACCATTGATTCTTGGCATGAGCCTCTGATTTTCCGTATCTTGGGCTCTGGTGCTTGGGGTTCCGGTCAACGGGTTCTGGTGGGGACTTGATTCCCGGATGAGAACTGCAAAACATGGTTGGAACGTAGACACGAGCTATCACGAGCTGACATGTTCACGTTTCAAGCAGCGTGGAGAGGCAGCACGGGGCCGCGATTGCCAAGGATGGATGCCACACCACAACTACCACATCTACAACCACAACTACCACCACTACTACCACCACAACTTCTACTTCCACCACAACGACAACGACTACAACTTCGACCACCACCAGCACTACGACCAGCACTAGCACCACCACAACCACGACTACCACATCTACGACCACCTCCACGACGACAACATCGACCACAACAACCACGACCACCACAACAACTACCAGCACGACAACCACTACCACCACCACTTCGACAACCACAACCACGACCACTACATCTACAACTACCATCACCACAACCACCACCACTACCACCAGCACCTCTACCACTACATCCACAACCACATCCACCACTACCACGACGACCTCGACGACTACAACAACCACAAGCACCACCACGTCTACAACCACGACTACCACAACGTCCACGACGACGACGGTCACGATTCCGAAGCTGGTGTGTTCCGCACCGCTGGACACCACAGGCTGTCGGCAGTGTAGCCGTTCAACACGTGATCTGTCAGAAGTTCTACAAACTTTCTGGCTAATGCACAAGACTGTTCAGGCTACCTGGTCTCTGAACACAACTTGATCCAGGAGGAGTTTAAGGTGACAGCCGAATGTTCCCAAGAGCGATTTGGCAGCAGTCATGGCAGACAAGAACCTGCCAAGTGACTCACACTCAGGTACATCGGCAACCCTTCTGTGGTCACGTGCACCGAGGAAGATAGTACCTACAAATTGAAGGGCTGTGAAAAGAAGGTCTTCTGTTTTGCACCGACGGTGCTAGGCCAGGAGCTTAGCTGCACTTCGTGCACCCACGGACGTATCTGTAAGCAGATCCGGCAAGGCTATCATGTCGACGAGAACAGCCTGGTTATGCAAGCCTTCGACGTGACAGCGAAGTGTGCGGACGGCTTCCACGGCACTGCGAAGGTGCGATGCGATTTGTTTGCCAATGCCGCAGTGCTCCGACAAAGGCTACGTACCCGGACGTACCTCCTCAGCCCCCTCAGGTTACTCCGTGCTCCAAGGAGGGCGAATACAGCATCACGGGCTGTACGGAAAACCTGTGCACAGCTCCGAGCACCGTAGGCAGGGACGGCCTATTCCTGGTGGAGTGGACGGGACATGTGCGCGAGTGATTTTGCCAGGTTATGCTGTCAAGGAGGTGGAGCTGCGAGAGCACTCCTTCAAGGCTGGTCCCGAGCAACGGCACTTGTGATGTCGGGGTGAACAGACTGTGCCAAGGTTATCTGCTGGAAAGGTAAAAATGACAAGCACGACGACGAAGAAGCAGAAGAGCAAGAAGAACATGCTGTCTGATGATCTCGATTCTGAGAGCGATGATGATGCTGATGATGATGATGGTGCGCACAGGAATGGCAATGGTGCTCCATTGCTGGTGCTGCAGCCAATGGTGCTGCCTCTTATCGTTGAACTGGCTTTGAACTTTAAACTTTGAACCCTAGCTCAAAAAGAAAATGTAATGCGACGTATAAACCCAAGTAGACGAAGGCTTCATGACAGGTACGGTATTTCTATGCGCCGCCTAACCAAAGTCAACTGCCCCTTCACCCAAACACCGAATAAAACATCAGGGCCTAAAAGAACCAAGAGGCACGCATGACTCCAAGCCCGACAGACAAACGAAACAACAACGACAGATGCGTAAATGAGAGTTCGACGAAGTTAGGGGCGGACGCGAATCAGTGGGACAAATGGAGAGGCGGAGAATGAAAGCGAGACACAGATCGCAAAGCAACAAGTATGCCAGGATGCGACCATGAGAAGACGACCGACCCTAGCAAAGGAAAGGCAAAACGATAACGGCGCGATGAATGAGAAGCGATAGGGATAGTGATGGCAAACCCAGAATGCACGACAACACCCGAACTTCGAAGCCCCAGTGTTGTGTGGTGGGGGGCTGGGCGACATGTACTTTCTTACAGTAGGGAGGCACGGGCTCAAGCGACAAGCCGCGAGCGGGAACTCAACATCGACATCGCACTTCATGCATCTGCGTGTGTGTGTGTGTGTCTCTCTCTCTCTCTCTTTGTGCCTGTCTCTGTGTGTGTGTGTGTTTTTGTTTTTGTTTGT